TACTTAGGTATAAATACGGTTTTGTTAATTCGACGGTGGTGGATTTGTTTTTTTATAATTAATTTTTGCCTAAAAAATGTATTATCTTTTTTCATTTTTGATCAATGCTTAATATTTTTCTTTACTTTAGGTATAATTATGGTTTTTGTTAATTCGACGGTGGTGGTTTTGCTCTTTCTTTGGAAATATTTGTTGCTGCAAAATGTACCCAGGTCGATGATTACGAACTTCGTAAACGATTGGATACGACCGTAACCGGAAAAAATACGACCATATACGACCGTATGTCACCGTATTTTGCCGTATCACCTGAGGCCGTATTACGATCGTATGTCTCCGTACCGTATACGGACAATTATGATTGTTTACGGAGAAAAACGGTCGTAAAAGATCGTATTTTTCCGTTTACAGCACGGAGACATACGATCGTAATACGGCCTCAGGTAATACGGCAAAATACGGTCGCGCGTGGTCATATTTCTTCGTATACGACCGTTTACGATCGCGCTTGTTTGACCTGGGACGTATTATCTTTTTTCATTTTTGATCAAAGCTTAATATTTTTCTTTACTTTAGGTACAAATATGGTTTTTATTAGTCCAATTTTGTGCTGAATTTGATTTTTTTTCTATTAATGTTCAATGCACAATGCATTTTCTTCCTTCAATTTTTTGTCAAAGATGCAATTTGAAATATCGAATCTTTACTGAAGTGTGTAATAGAACAATCAAAGAATAAAATAATTTTGTTATTAGTTTCAAAACGGATTTAAATTTCGGATTCCATTCAGAAACATATAAAATAAAATATTGTAAAGAAAAGCTAGTCGTCTGATCGATGTCAAGTGGTCATCGTTCGTGATGCTTTGTTTCTCACATATATAGTAGCTCACGTTACGTTTTGTTGCAAAAGAAACAGGTACGATTGTATATCAATGATTTAGTTCTCAGTAGAAGATATTATAAGGACCTCCGGGCAATAAAAACACATACGTAGAGATAAAACGATTGAGGGTTCGGAGTATGATAAGAATTCGCAGAGTACGAGATCTGCCAATCGGGTGTTGAATATGATAAAACTTTGGATTTCGAGAAAATTTGTTTTTAATGGATTACGCTCGATTTCTTCAGTGTTAGTATGATTATTTTAATGAACAAATGTAGAAGTTAGCAGTACAATGTTGTGCTAAATTTAAAAAACTATGACAAATGTTTTGATCTAATCAAATTATATAATGGAGACTTGTATCATTGCAAAAAAGGACGCTTCATGTATTTTGTGAAACTTATATATATATATTCCACAATGGGAAATATACAGAATAAAAATTTTGGATGAAATGTTTATGCCGATCTATATCGTATTATTATAGTAATTGAAATCAAGGATTATTACATATATTTTTATAACGTTATTGGTTACAGTAGTATTTATACGATGTTTCATTAGGATGAAAAAGAAACGAGATAATCATAAAATAAAGTGAATTAAAAGCATTTATAATCTTCTTAAATCTTATAATGTTCTCTAAAGATATGTAGAATATGTGTACATTTAGATACACTATGTAATCATTCAATTAAAAAAGTGAAATAACAAATCAACAGATATGGAATATAATTATTATAGTACGTCATTTTTTATTATATAAAATATTTCCTTCTTTTACATTTCAATATTTAAATTCCAGATTGGAGTTTAAAAATGACTGTGTTAATAAACTTTACTAATCAGTTATTTTTCCCAAAAATAACAATATTACTAGTGTTTGATATATGTTATTTTTTCTTAGTCATTGTTAGTTTTATTCAAAATAGGAATATTGAAAATCTTTCTAAACTTTAAATTTGTGTATAAAGTTTTGAAATATGTGAATAATTCTTAGATTGATGAGCAAATTCAAGATTGTTGTATTTTAATGAAATAATGAAAAGTTTCTTTATTGTTTAGCTCTTTCCTATAATCATCTTAAATTCAGTCAGAATGCATCGTGAAATCCAAATGCTATAACTTGCGCAAATATCAGCACAATTGGTGAAAACTCTTACGATATTTTTATTAATACGAACAACACTGTTTATGTACCTAATCGAGGCAATGGTCGCATTATCGTCTGATTTAAAAGAAATATTATACTAACAAAAAATATTTTGAGCAATTCACCGAATCTATAGTCTTTTTGTGACAACAACAGATGATATTTATGTTGATAGTGGTACTTCAATAGGTCGGGTAAAGAAATGGAGAACGAATTCATCAGTTGTTGTTCTAACAATGTATACATGTCAAAAGTGTGAGAATCTTTTCATTGATATTGATGACAATCTTTAATGTTCAATATCTGATCTTAACCAAATTATTAAAGAATCGCTGAACACCGTTTCAAATGCACTATTGATTGTTGCTGATACAGATGATGCTAGTAACACTTCTAATAAGCTTTGTTCTTCTCGAGAAATCTATGTTGATATCAGTTTTAGTCTTTATGTGGCGGATTATGGAAATAATCAGAAAGTGAATCAATAATGTGATAAATGTATTCTAAATAAATTAGAATTTGTTAATTGTAATTACAAATAAAATATCAGACGATTGTATAATTATTGATTATTTTAATTCTTCTATTCAATGATAATATGGGGAGTCTTGTAAATTTCTTCTCAGTGTTGAAAATAACCAGAGATCTAGTATATAACATTATATTGTGACGAAGAAGGCTTTAGTAATCGGCTTATATCTATTGTCATACTTGAAAAATAGATTATTTTTAAAACTGATGGACTTTTACTAAAACATTTCTTTCGATCTTATTATTAAAATAATGTATATCATTTGATACATTAATCAGTGGTTATGAAATGATAATTGTCAAGAAAAAATATTAATTCTTCTAATTTACATCTATAGTAGCATATACAAAAGTAAAAATAGCTTTATTTTTTAAATGAAAACTGTATTTATAAACATATTTTTTATCATTAATTCTGAATATAATCTATTAATACTAATACATTCGAAATTAATACTCTCTTTAAGATTTATCTTCACATTAAGGTGATTTTAAATTATATATTTTTATTAAAATAGATTAGACATCGTGTTAAATCAATAAACAGTATCCTATAATTAATATAAGTTCATAACAGTTCTTTTTTTTTCATAGAAGAATATTAAATGTGATGTCTTTTCTATTTATTCAAATGAGAACTGATATATATATATACCCAAGCAATACTTTTAATTTAACATCAAATTGATAGGATCAGATATTTTAAATAAATATTACACTTCTCAAATAACAGGGTATTCGTATAAAACAATGATAATGGACACTTATAACAAATCATAATTAATATTTATCATTTAAAAAAAGAACGAGACCAATACATATTTTTCAAAAGTTTATAAAATTATCCGAATGCAATCATAAAAACATTTACTGTTATATCTCTGTTTAGATCTGTTGAATTTATCCTATCGTAAAATGTAACTTCTACTAAAGTAATATGTATCATATAGATTTATTTTTTTTCTATACTCACTCAACTCCTCCAAATGCATGATACCTACATAATAGTGTGATATTTTTAGTATAAAAATATGAATCATTTCATATAGGTGCTAATCGATAGACATTTAATCGATTGGGCGTGTATGATATTATTCCTTGAAAAGACAATGCTTATTTACATATTTTTATTTATATCAAAATAAACAACCTCAAATATATTTTCCATATATAACAAGACATTTATAAATATATCTATACTAATGTTTTCTTAAATTTATCAACATTAATTATTGTTTTATTTATACATCAACATTATAATGAATCTAACATACACACGTATTTTCTATAAAATACATTATTTATAATATATAATAAATATTTATAAGAAAAACATCTTCTTATTTATATTTCAATTTAGTAATGCATATAGGAAATATTTTGATATCAGTTAAATCTATTTAAGCATTCAATTAATTCTTATCAGTTAAATTTATTCAAACATTCAATTAGTTTTTATCAGTTAATTTTTAATTAAGGATATGACCTTGAATATATGTTAAAAAATATAATTAGGCATAGATTATTTTTTCCTCATAGGTTTTTTTCTTTGACTATGCTAGTTCACCATTGGACATATAATGGATGAAAAAAAAAATTTCTCGTTAGCATCTATTATAATTGATGTTTTTTGAATAATGATAGTGATCAATTGACAGGATGCAATTACATGAAGATATTACGCTCGGTTTTTTTGCTTAGGTAAATGGTGCATGAAGTAATACGTGCGTAAGGTGAGCTTTGTGTAAGTTCAAATATATAATCATAAATCTTCTTACATATAAATATATGTATGTATATGTATGTAGAGATTGCGTTGGTGGCAAAATTTTTCGTTTTTTCTTTCTTTTTCTTTTTTTTAGTTAAAATATATAATATATCTCATCAATTATTGACAAAAAAAAGACACAATAGGAGAGATAGGCGATAATTTACTTTGAATAAATACAGTACAATGTATATATTCTTTTTTTTTTCATTGATAACAAAAGACCTTGCTTGATATAGTATTCAGTGAAGGATAGAAAGATACTTATATTGGTAGCTGGTTTCATCAAATAAGTATCTATGAGTACAGATAAATTGTATCGAAGCAGTAGAAGGCCTTAAAAAACAATGATTTTTTTTTCGCGGAAGAAATAAAAAGGTGAGGATAAGACAGCCAATGTTTATTTTTTATGGTCGTTATTCATCCCGAAAGAGAAAAAAAAGAGAGAGAAACCAATGTTAAGTACGAAAGTAGTCATAATTTGATACGTTTTTTTTGCTTCTTACTTGCACCTTTTTTTCTCAATAACGTCCCCGATATAATTGTATATGTGGTCAGATTTATATTTCGTACCTGTATATGTACATGCGAAGAGAAGGGTAAAAGAGGAGAAAATGAGAAATATATGACAGCAGAGATATGATATTAGATTGAAGCGAGTAGTCATTTCACTCTCTTTCGCTCACTCTCTCTCTCTGTCTCTCTCTCTCTCTTTCTATCGTTAGTGTACTGTGCAAAGAAAACAAGCGACAACGTCGATGACAATCTCATGTTAATAGAGCGTTGACTGACGCATCCTTTACTGCTGTAACGATCACCATCATCACCACTCTTTACCGCATCACATAAAAACAACAACAACAAAAAAAAAACCACAGTCATAATAATCGAACGCAATGGCAAAGAAAGCCAAAGATCCCGCAGCTGCTGCTGCTGCTAAGAAACCACAAGCTCCAGTTGATCCCGTCAAAGTTGGAAATCTTGTTCGTTTATTAAATATTCTTGCTTTAGTACTAGCTATTGGTGCTTTTCTACTTCAATTATTTGCTGTACTTTCTCATCATTGGAAATGGCAAGTAACAGGTCTTGGTTCATTAGTATCACCTTCTTATCATTATGCTCAACCAAATATTTATAATGATAGTCGACTTGATCAATATTATGGTTTATATTCACGTGATGTTAAACTCTATGCTAATAATGATGAACAACTTGATGTTGATGCAAATACACGTTTTCCACGGCTTGATGATGGTGAAGAATCTCTTCATCATTGTTTATCACAAACATCAACACTTCGTGGTGCATTTCTTGCTTGTTCAGATCGTGTAGTTTCACCAGAACAATGCCATTGCCGACGACATGCTTATTGGAATTTTGTTATTTTCTTCGAAGTTCTTGCTTTAATTTTACTTGGTATTGTTGTCATTGTTGCAGCTTTACTCTCAACAGAATATCGTGTTTTATTAAAACTTGCTGGTGCTGGTTTAGCAATTGCTGCTTTTCTTCTTTTATTCATTGGTTTTCTATTAATTGTCACTCATCTTAAACGTGAGACACGTTCATTGGCTGATGCATATCCATACATTCATCAACGACTTTCAAGTAAACTTGCTGTTCCTGTTGGACAACCATATGCCATACGAACCAAAGAAACAATATTACATCAAGCTGTTCGTCGTCAAGCACATGAAACATATCGTGCATATCCTTTATTACCAGGTCAACATCCATACAATGAAACACATTTTCAAGAATATTCAGAACCATCACGTGGATGGGTTTATAAACCATATTCAAGTATTAATGTTCAACCTATTGCTTATGCACCACTTTCACAACGTGGTCGACCAGGTCCTCCAACCGTTCCAAGACGTCAAACAACACCAGCACCATTACATAATGAATATGGTCCATTAGTAGGTTATGATACAGTTTTTGATCATACACGTGCTGGTATTGGCGCCGGAACTATACTATCAATTCTTGCTATGATTCTTGCATTACTTACCGGAGCGATTCTTGCTTTATCATGGCTTCAAGGTAACAAAATTGAACCACCTAAACCACCAAAAGCACCAAAAGAGAAAAAAACAAAAACAAAAACAACAACAACAACTACTAGTTCAGCTGAATATGTACCATTAGCTACAGATGTTCCTGCTGTAAGACCATTAATTCCTTCTGATTACGACAGTCATCGTCCAATTGGTGATGCCATTGTAACAGCACAACATGTACAACAACCACCTTATGGTACACATGAAACTCGACAAGAACCAGTTATTGTACGTGATGTTGTTATTCGTGATGAACATCCAGTAGTAGTCACTACTCAAGAACGTTCATATCCGGTTAATGTTGAAACCCATCAAACAGCATACAATACATAATAACAAAAAAATAAACAATATAATTTCTTGCATTTTTCGAACAGTATTTAGACTAGAACATTCACACACTTTCATTCATTTATGTATCTTTGTCTCTCTTTCTTCTTTTTTCTAATTTAGATTTTTGACTAACATGTATTATGTTTTATCTTTTTTTTTTCGCTAAGTATTAACACAAAAATTTTACTCTTTTATTATATTTATTATAATCCTTGTTTGATAATCTTGCTAAGCTATAGATATCCTTTAATTACAGAAGAGGTTATTTCAGTATCAGAATTCTAAACTATCGCTTATATATACATATAACCTCGATAGTCTTCTAGTAAATCTATTGATATTCAGAAAGATAAAAAAAACACGATAGTTTGTCAAGAACATTCAAAAGAGATTTAAATCTATTCATATAAACATATACATATATATATATGGTTTTTATCAATGATAGTTTAATGTCTAGTTGCTACCGGATCATATTGAATGATTGAATTCATTGTTCAATAACTAAAGTATGAATGCAATTTGAGTGTTTAGTGATATATGCATGTCCTTTTTTTTCTTTCTCTCTCTCTTTCTCTCTCGTCCTCAATACATTCATTTATGTCACTGTCTGTCTATCTAGTAAGATTGAAAGATATATTGATCGATTGAGAAGTGAACATCCACGCGTATCGATTGATGTGAATATGATAAGCAAAAAAAAACGATGATAAATGACAGTTTTAAACGTATATTACCTTTTGATCTCGTTTTCTATTATAAATCAATATATTAACAAAGAAAAAAAAGACATTTGAATTGTTTATATTTTCTTTTCGAAATAGTTATCAAATAAATATAGAGAAAATATTGTATTTCTTATCAAATATGTATTTACAGTCATCATTATAGTGATTGTGTCATTTAATAGATAGACTCCCTTCATGGTTATCATCATACGTCAAAAAATAAACGAGACATGTCATATGAAATCGATGCAATACACTTGTCATTCAATTCAAGGATGTGATAAAAAAAAAAAAGGTATTTTTAAAACCTTTGAGTAATGATCAAAATAGTATGTAAATAGAATATTCGTTGTTGAATTGTAATTATAAAATATGAAAAAGTTAAATAGAATATACTTTTCGGTTTATTTATTCAAATAAAATCAAATTCATAAAACAACGAGAAAAATAATAAGATAATAGAATATATCTGACTTAAAACTTTTTATTGTCGAATGTGTTTTTTTTTCGTTTACGATATGGTACACAAGGTTTCTTTTTTAAATGAAAATGGATATTGAAAACAGCAAATAGAACGTTTTATTGTTGGATGAGTACGAAATTCTATATCACCTGTATCATCATCATTATCATCATTGTCGTTGGCAAGTAAGGCATGATTAGTACTGTTCCTAACAGAATCTTCATTTTGACGAAATGTTTTTAATTCTTCACGTAATTCATTTCTAGTTAATTTATGTACTGGTGAAACAAAATTATCTTCGCTAGAAAAAAAGAAAAAATATATATTGTTAGTTTATAATCATAGAATGTCTGATTAAATAGAGTCTATAAATAATAAAGCTGAAAATTAAACTATTTATTATATGAATATTTATTTCGATGTAATATAAATTGAAAATATTTTTATTCTATCGATTCCATCAAAATAAAATATAGTTCCTGTATAATTACTTTACCAAACTACAATAAGATTCAAATATCTTTAATATAAATTAATGAAATCTTTTCATTTTGTACTCTCAATCTAGTTTGATTCTCATGTATTATTTATCATGCAATAATTGTATTCAAAAGATTTTTGTCCTCTTTATAAATAATATGTCGTTAATTCTAATCGTTTATTTTCTAGACTATATTTGAATTACTAAAAGTTCCTATTATTGAACTACCATATTCTCAACTAATTTGTATCGTATTAATATAATCAAATAACATAGCATAAAGAGCAATCATAATCATACTTTTAACATTTGAATTCTAAAATATAGAAAAAAAACAAAAACATAAAGACTAACTCAGAATTATCATTATCACTAATTGTTACTAATGGTTGGTAAGATGGATCATTATTTGCTTGAATTCGTGTATTTAAAATTCTAAATTTATATAATTATAGAAAATGAATAAAACAAAACCATATGAATTACTTTAATCCAGATGATATTTGAATTGAACTTGATTGAGCTAGATGTTGCACTAGATTTGGTTTATTGGATGTTGGTGGTCGAATTTTAGATAGAAGATCTAATAATTATAGATGAATTCGTTATTGATTTATAAAAAAGAACAAAAGAAAAATTTTACACCATTTTTCTGATTAGATGTTTTTCGAATTGGTTGATTTGTCACAATATTTAAAGCCTAAGACAAACTAAATAATATCGTTTATCAAAATACAAAAAAAACATACTTGTCGATTAACGGTCGATTTATCCATGAGAAAAACAAATGGTTTATGAATATAAAATAGCAAACTCTGGTATGTATGTATTGATCTCGATTTTTATTGGTTTAATATTTATTCAATGAATTCTTTGGATTGATTAGAGGTCTTTACTATGGTAAAATAATGTGATAATGGTTTTTTGAAAAAACAAATGATTCTATTTTCTATTGACTATTTATATTATTAATTAATATTTATAAATTAATAATATCATGTTAATTGTTTCACCGGTGATTTCTTCATCTTCTCCGAGTGAGAAAAAAAAGAATGAATTATTTCCGCAATGTGCACGAACAAAACAAGTGGCTTATCCATGTAAATATTTTTGGAAAATTTCATACAACAGCAAAATAAATTGTTTTTCAATATTTTAGTTTCAAATATTAAAACATCGCAATCAATAGTTGATTATGAGGAACTAAAACGATTACAACAACTTTCAACTGATCCAATTGATAAGTACGAACGTCAAATACTTAGAATATGTACAGATATTAATTATTTGATTGTATTCTAGAGTAGAAACGCATGATATGTTTATGAAACATTATTCATCAGTAATAAAACCTGCACCAAAACGAAATTGGCTATCTCGGTAAATATAAAATTTCAATTGAACAAATTATAAATCAGATGAAAATTGATATTTTATATTAGAAGTAAAAATAATGGAACAACAAAAATGATTGAAGCACCGCCATTACAACAAGTTGAAAATCAATCAATTTCAACACCTTTAGTAACAAAATCAGGAGGACGAAATCGAAAAGAAATAACACCGATGCAACGTGATATACAAACACTCCGACGGCTTCTAAGAAAAATGTAAAACAAAAGAAATTTTAATATTATATGCGTTCAATAGAAAAAAAATTTATTTCATAGACATATTCAAAGAACAAATGCTGAAAATGATGAAATTTTTCAAATAATGTCTCAATTTCCTGAATTTATGGCACTTGATCAACGGCCAGAAATACTTCGAGAAGCTATAGAATTAGCTCATTTAGATTTATGTGAAGAAAATCAACAACCAGGTTCTATATGAAATTGTATTTGTTCGATTTTTATTCTTTGATTATTTTTAGTATTGCCTTCAAATGGTTACTTTTTTATTTTAAAAGGTGGTGTTACTTCACCATTGACTACTTCGGAACTTCCACCCTTATCATCTCACATACCTCCAGAACCCGTATGTGAAAAAATAGTTACAATGAAATCAATTCAATATTTTTATATTTCAGCTTACTGTGGGACAAAGTTTTGGTTCATTAAAACCAGCAGAAGGAAGATCGAAGTAAAAACTAGTTTTTGATTTATTATCTATTGTTTTTTTTCATTTAAAGAGCTACGTGGTTGATAACTACTGATGAAAATAGTGAATTTCTTAAAATTAATAAAGATCAATTTCTAACAATTAAAACAGTATTGATATTTAAATGAATGATTTATTTCTAATTACTATTTTTTTTAAAAATAGAAATTCGAACAAGCTGAATATCAAGAAAAATGTTCATTAGTTTGTTCATGTGGTGAATATAAAGCATGGTCTAAACAAATCATAGATGAACTTCTTCATTTAATTGAATGGATTGATTATCCACAGAATACAAGTAAATTTTTCTTTCAAATAATATCTATTATACAAAATTCTTCGTATGTTTAGTTATTGCAAGTGAAGGTTTTCGTTGTCCATTTATTGG